TGTAGTTCCTGGTGTGGATCCGCGGGGATAGCAACGGAGTTTGCTTCCTCTACTCTAAATCGATCCAGGATTCTTTTTGCGTACGCTTCCTGATGCAGGAAGATCGATCCGTCGGGCTTTCGTTCGATATGTATACCTAGAAACAGATTTGCATCATTGTGCGTTAATTCAAATTCCGCCTCCAACTCGCTGAGAAGTTTATCTATCAGAGATCGATCCTGCGCCACGATCAGTCCGTCGTCTATGTAGATTGCCAGAATTAAGTTTTGGCTTCGGTTTCGGCTCGTGAATACGCACGGGTCTGCGCTCATTGCCTCTAGGTTGAACCCTCGTAGAAATTCGGTGAACCGTCGGTTCCAGCAATGGAAGGACTGTTTCAGCCCGTACAGGCTTCTCTTTAACTCGCAAACTTTTCCCGTTCCGTCGTCATACCCCTCCGGCTGCTGCATGTGAATCGTCTCCTCGATGTCGCCGTATAAGAAGGCGGTTTTCACGTCGAACTGCTTTATTTGCATCCGTTCACGTGAAGCAATGGCAAGGATAGCTCGGATCGAGTCGAATCGAACCACTGGGCTGTGAGTCTCTTGATAATCTATCCCTTCTCACTGCCTGAATCCGCGTGCGACTAGTCTCGCTTTGTGGCGCTTTACGTTGCCGTTGGCATTTCGCTTTAGTTTGTAGGTCCACTTGCAGTCTATTATTCTCGAGTCCTGAGGTGCTTCCACGAGCTTCCATACTTTATTTTTCGTGAGTGAATCGTGCTCTTCGTCCATCGCTCTCTTCCACTGCTCCGATTCTTCGCTCTGGACCGCTTCTCTGTAAGAGAGAGGTTCTTGGCCCTCAGCCAGGAACAGATCATCGAGGTCCCGAAATCGATACCTCCAGGGAAGTTTTAGCGTTCTTCTGTCTCGGAGTTGGTAACCATCGTTCTGCGGTTGGTCTTCTCCATTGTTAGCGTTTATTTCTCCCTCTGCGTTTTCAGGCGCGGCCTCGACTTCTGATACGTCCGGTCTAGCCGCTTCTCCGTTCGCTGGCGGTTCGTTCTCAGGTTCATCGTCGTCGCTGTCCGAATCTACTTGTTCGCTCGGATTGTGTTCTTCGCCAAGCCATACCTCGTCGTCTTTACGCTCTCTCGGTGCAATTATTGGGTCGACTTTTCTTGAGAATACGACGTCTCTTGCCGTCTCGATTCTTCTATCATCGGGAAACCATACGCGATATTCTTTTGTTTCGTTACCATAACCGAGAAAATATCCCTTTCTTGCCTTTGCATCGAGTGCTCGACGTTTTTCTTTCGGTACATGAACGAAAATCTCTTCGCCGAAGATGTGCAAATCCTTTATTTCTGGTTTTCGTTGAAACCAGAGCTCCGACGGTGTGGCCCCCTTGACGCTGCTCATTCCAGTGCGATTTAGTGTGCTGACGGCTGTATTGATTGCTTCCGCCCAAAAATCTGCGGTGAATCCTCCGCCAAGCATCAGTGTCCGTGCCGCTTTCTTCAGAGTGCGATTGTCTCTTTCTGCACAGCCGTTCTGTTCCGGCGTGTATGCTACCGTTCGCTGATCACTTATCCCGAGATTATTTGTTAACTTTTTGATTTCGCTGTTAACAAATTCGAGTCCATTGTCAGTGCGCAGAACTCTCACTTCTTTCGGGCATTGTTTCTCAGCCCTTTTAAGGAAGTTTCTGATGCAGTCCGTCGTTTCCGCCTTGCTTCCAATAAAGTGCACCTCGCGATAGTGCGAGTAGTCGTCCTTCAGCAAAAGATAATATCTTGAGCCTCCGAGGGATTTAGTTGGCATAGGGCCGCAGAGATCCGCGTGTATGATTTCGCCGATGCTCTTCGTCTTCGAGTTACTCTTTGGGAAGGGGAGTCGATGCATTTTGCCCATGGTGCATGCTTCACAAAATGAATTTTTCTCGCCTTTTACTGGTATTTGGAACCTGTTGAGGATCTGCCTTACATGCTGAAAGTTTTGATGCGCCAATTTCTCGTGCCATACCTGCAGCGTGTTCGTCGACGCTGTATACGCCCGTGGCATATCCTGTCTCCATTTCTTCAGCTCGACGATCTCAAACTGCATTATATACAGTTTCCCTCGACGTACACCCGTAGCGATTGTGCGTCCGTCTTTGAGCAGTTTGCACGTCTCATTTGTTGACTGCATCTCGAGGCCTTTGTCCATTGCCGCGCCTACTGAAAATAGATTATATTTAATTTTTGGTACATATAACACGTCGACAAGGTGATTCTCGTTCTAATTTTCTCCGTCGAACATGGTGACGTTGATGCAGCCCTTTCCGTGAGCCTCGATACAGCCTCCATCTCCTATGCGCACCAACGTCAGATAGTCGAAAGCTTCGTATGTAATATACCAGTCTCTTCGTTGGCACATATGATCGCTGACTCCGGAGTCTAGAACCCATCCTGCGTCTTCGACACGTCTCAGAGTCTTTGACGTGTGAGCCTCACTTACCAGTCCCTCGCCGTGCAGTTTCTTCTTCGCTGTCTTGTCGCCTGTCTTTCTTCCTTGATCGTCGTCTCCTTTTCTTTGCGGGCATTCTCTGGCCCAATGTCCGGATTTTCCGCATACGAAGCATTTCCCGGACTTTGACGTATCTCTCGACGCACCGCCTCTGTCTCGCTTCGCCTTTCCACGCTTCGCGTCGGACGTGACAGCGTTTCCATTTTTGTCCTCTTGCGCCGAGTGCCTCGATTCCTCCATTACAAGTCTCGCCTTTAGGTTATCCAGTGTGCGCTCTCCCGCTGGCACTGATTCCCATGCGCTGACAAAGTGTCGATAGTTGGTGGGCAAGGTCATAAGAATTTTTGTAATTATCATCGAATCTGCGATTTTCTCACCTTCTCAGCATTAGTCTGTGCGCTATGTCTTCCAGCTTGGCGATGTGCGTTGCGATGTCGTCCGAACTCTTCTTTGTTGCATTGTACCAGTGCTGCTGCATGTGCACGCTCGCTTCAGATTTTTGTTCGTATATCGCCGTGAGTTTCAGCCACATTTCCGCCGCCGTCGTATAGTTTATTATGTGGAGCGTCGGCTGATCTCCTACTGTCGTTACAATCACCTTTTGTGCCGTTGCATCGGCTTTGATCCATGCCGCAAGATTCTTCGCGTACGCATTGCGTGTAGCCTCGCTCGCCGCGTCATCCGGTTCCCGCGGTTTCTCGTCCGTTCCCAACGTGACGTTTAACGCACCGCATGAATTTAGGATCATTCTAATCTGGAATTTCCAGATGCCCCAGTTCTCGATATTCTTGAGCTTCACTACTCTTGTAAGCTCGCTTTCCATTTTTTTTGCGCTCGGTTATATTTTCCACTATTGCACAAGGCGGGGAGATAACCTCAAAAGTTAGCGTCTTAAATATCTTCACTTCGACGAGTCACTATTCCCGAGAAAAATATATCTCGCGTAATTTGCCTGGGCCCATAACCTGTTAGGATTAGGATGGCGCAAATAATAAAATCTTACTCGGGATATGCAAGAATAATATCTTTAATTGTAGTAATAGAGAGCGTCGTCACCGTACACTTATTATGAAGCGCGGACTCACACAAGAGTATAAATAATAAAGGTTACATCATAGAGAAAAAGAAAACAAAAAAATTGAGATCAATCGGTAAAAACAACTTTTCCAACACCAATAATTTGGAAATATGGATGTTTATTATAGGTATTTTTTTATGATAAAAAAGTGATACATATTTATAGATTCTCATTTTCTAATAAATTTGAAGTCAACTTTTAAGAGAATTTTGATTAAAAATTTGAAAATTAAGAAACTTTGATTAAGAAAATTTTATTGAGGAAACATTAATATGAAATAGCAAAAAACGCACTTTGAAGGAAGTTTCCTAATCGAGTTTCTTAATCAGTATTAAGATTCTCGTGGCAATCATTCTTTATACACTGAGAAAAAATGTTCCGTTTGATTCAACAAACCGTCTGTTTGATTTTGGTTGAAACAGACAGATTCTGGTTAAATTTACCAGAATTTCTATTAATATAACAAGATTCTCGTTAAATCAACCAAAATCTAGTAGATTCAATAATCTGTTGGTTACGAGCTCGTTGAATCGAGTATATAAGATGATTTTTTGCTTCTCACGTGAGAATATGATTTCAAAAAAATCTTGAACTTTGAATCATTTCGAATATCTGTCTAATTATGTGAAATTATTGCGACAGTGTCAAATACATTTATCGTTTGCTGCCTTTTAGAAAAAGGGTGGCATTATTATTTTGATGCAGACAAGAATGTGCTCAGTTTTTTGTGCCCAGCTTTGCTCTTTCAAGCTTCTACAATGTAAACAGTTTTATCATGTACATAGAACACTTTACGTGTCGGTGCATGAATCATGAATGAGCATAAAGCATCGTTGTGATTGTGTATATACTTTATTCTTATTCGCTTGACGTGCGTTGTTACGACTGGTATTATTATTTCAAGGTCGGATGTACATGACAGTTATGCAGTTTACGGAAGTGTGTTTTGTATTCTTGTGGGATTAAATTTATGATTTAAAAATGGACCATGAAATTTGAAATTTAATGTTTGAAATTTAAACTTTGAAATTTAAACTTTGAAATTTAAAAATAAACTAAAGAACTGATTTTTTCATATTTTTCTTTATATACTGCTTTATATTATATATCGAATCAAATATCTCAATGATGATCTTCATTGAATCTAAGGAAACATTTTGTTGACATTAATTATTTTTAAGAAATATTTTTTGATCAGTTAATGAACTTTTCTACTTGTATCATATTAAAAAAAATGGATCGTCAGATCCATCGTAAATTTCTAGAAACAGTTTATTTTTTAGCAAGAAATAGTAAAACTCTTTCATAGAACCGATTATAACGAGTACATACATATATCTTGGCATAAGAGCTGAGTTCGCAATGGAACGATAAATGGCTTAGATTTCTGATGCTGAATAAGAATGGTTTATAACACGACTAAAACGTACGATTAGGTGAAGCTGCGCAAAGTGCTGCTTGATGAAGGCAGTGGCTCCTCGTGGCGTCGGATTCTCACTGCGGCGGGAGATTGTCACGCCATTTCCGGCTATGCGTCGCGCAAAGGATATCGAAGAAAACGTCTTATACGGGTAAAAGGTATCATTTGCCCTTTATATCTTGCTCTTGTTATAACAAATTCAATTAACTTCTTGGCTAATCCTTGCGCACACAAATTTCAACTAACTTTCCCTTCGCAAATAATTCTGCAAAATAATTCTTGAAGCTCTGAAAGTAATTTTGCGGCACGTAGAAATTGATAGAACATTTTAGAAGTTGATAGCGAGCTTAATTGAATCAATAGCGTATTTTGGTTATATTGATATTAGATGTTGTATATCGTCGCAATAGTGTTTCGCAATAGTTTGAAAACTATTAATACTTTAAAAACAATTAAATAAATCTGATCTCGCCGCAGTAATGTAAAATATGAAGCGCTACGTTTATTATTTCTTCTAGCAGTCTTTTGACAGTTGTAGGAAATTCTTATATAGTTTTAATATATACTGCTCAAAAAAATTATGGCATAGAAAAATTTTGGGCAAAAATTGGTCAACTTTGACTGACGATAACTCCGCGAAAAATTATCGTAGGATCATGATTTTTTTGTTTTTAATTAAAGCCTAAAATCTCTACTGTAAGATACTATGGCTCGATTTTAAGTTTAATACACCCCTACCATTGTAACCCCTTAAATCTGAGATATGTGTCATATTGAAAATTGCAAAGTTTGACGGAATGCACGGACTTGCTAAAATTTTTTTGGAGTGTAGGTTTACACACACACACACACACACACACACACACACACACGCGCGCGCGCGCGCGCACACACCGGTGAGCAAAATCCGACCAGCAACCTTGCCGTGGTGCACATCCGGTAATGGTAATGCCGGTGGTACATGTAAAAAATGCAAGGGTTACTTTAAAGTGCTGTAACTTTGCGAAAAAAAAATTGTAGCATTGTAAAATTGCTTTTTTTTTTTTAATTAAAGAAGGAGATTCGAGCTTTATGCCGCTGTAAACGGCATTCCCCAAAAAAATTTTAGCAAGTCCGTGCATTCCGTTAAACTTTGCAATTTTCAATATGACAAACATGCCCTCAGATTTAAAGAGTTACAGCTATTGTAACTCCTTACAATAGCTGTAAGGAGTTGTATTAAACTTAAAATCAAGCCACAGTATCTTAAAGTAAAGATTTCAGGCTTTAATTAAAAAAAAAATCATGTTCCTACGATGATTTTTCGCAGAGTTATCGTCAGTCAAAGTTAGCCAATTTTTGTGAGCAGTGTATTTAATGCATTTCACTTTCTCTCTCTCCCTATCTTCCCCCTTTCTTCCCCCCCCCCACCCTCTCTCTCTCGCTCTTTACCGGCTTATAAAAATAGTTAAATAAATCTTTAATCTAGTTTTTATATATCGCATAAAATATGAAATAATAGCTATTTTCATTGTTTTCTTCAGAGTTTTTCAGTAGTTTTTAATAATTGTCATATAATTCCAATTATTCTGACATTTTTGAAAAAGTTTCTAAAGATATAGTTAAATATCATATTTTTAATCTCGAAACTTATATCACATTATTTAAAGTTCAAGATGTTCGCTATTTTCATCGTTTTCTTCTGAATTTTTTGGCAGTTCTCAGCAGTTCTAACGTAGCTCCATTCGATTTAATTAATTTTCAACAGAATTCTCGGCACATATAAGGATTGACTACATTTTCAATTTTTAAGTCTGCACATCACATTTTGTAAAATACAAAGTGTTGGGTTATATCCATCGTTTCCTTCAAAGTTTTTTAATAAGTTTTTGGCAATAAAATTTGTAATTATCTTATTTGCAACATATTTAAATACATACAATAATTAGTTATTTCCTTCATTTCTGCTTGTTTCCAAGCTTTCTCGGTAATTTGAATAAAAACAGAATTAACTGGAAATTTTCCTCGGAAATTGAAAAAAATGTACTATTAATTTTGCAATAAATGTTGAGAATAAATTAAATAATATAAGAAATGTTAAAATATTGTTCTCGTTCTTGTTAAACGCAAATTGCACGTATAATAATTATAATGTGTTGAAGACTATACTTTATTTTTTAAGTAAATAACTGCATAACGCTGTTTCCTTATGATCGATCTTACGTGCGCTGTTTCTTGCAATATAAAGCGTGAAATGTAATTAAAATGCTACGAAATGTAAGTAATGAGTTAAATTATCGGGTTATGTAATGTAGTTATGAGTTTACGTGACAAATGCATAAAGCTGGAAACAATATTAGATCAAATTAGATATAACATCTTTCAGTGTGCATTTATCATAAGTTTTAAAGCAGCTTACACATGAGATATGGCGATATGTTATTTATATAAATGCTAGTATGATATTGAAATTAAGTATCGGTTAGATAAATAAAGAAATTTTTAGTTATGTAATATTATCGTGATTGTGTATTAAAAAATCCAAAGCTATATTTTTATTGATTTATTTTATATATGTTCATTTTCATGTGAATTTATTTTTTAATCTTATAATTAATTTTTTATATTTATTTCAAATCTAATAAATTATTATTTATTAATCTGTACAATGTTAATTGCAACTACTCTTTCTCTACTTTTTCTTATTTCTATTGCTGCTATATGTTGTTAACGCGTGAAGTGCCTACCGAATTTTATATATCTCTTATTGTGTACACTACAGTGTAATTTTTATTTTATCAATCATATAATGATGAAAATTTGCTTAATATGATTAAACTATATCATTACGAAGAATGCGTTTATCTCTTATGGAGGTCACCGATGGTCACCTAGGCATAGTAGCGATGACACCTAAATGCAGCCGTGGCTAACACGCACACGATTGAGAATCGCATACATGTGCTGCGTAGAGAAAATGTACAACTTTTCGGTAGGAATTGTACAAAAATTGTACAAAAAAAACTTATGACATTTTGTAAAAATTGCGATGGACAAGCCTCACTTTTGTTTACCGTGCTTCAAAAAAGTTTATTATAATATTTGATTCTATTTCAATATTATACGTATCAATAAAAACAAAAATTATTACATGTTGAATAGCGCACTTTTACTTTAGTACCTCTATTATCTATATTACTTAAAATTTTTATTTGATGGTGTTTATTTGTGACAAGCATTTTAAACAATTTGATAGTGTCTTCATCAATGACCATTAAGATCATTGGCTACTGAAAAGTTGTCTTTTCTGGCACTTGTGTGCCAGTCACGGATGACCATTATGGCAGTCAGCGTATTTATAATCACTTATCTAATCTACTAATCTATCTAATCTACTAATCTATTTAATTAATTTGCCTAATTTCAAGATCTAAAAAATATTGCAAATACAATATATTAAAATAATTAATTGATTGGAACAAAAACCTAATAACAGTCTGATATTTTATTGAAGATTTTGGGTAATAGCAATGCATGCGTGCATGCGTTGAAAAGTTATTGAAACGCGATTAAAAAAAAGTTGTTTATAGAAGACCGAACACAAAAAGGATTGGGCGTTTATTTACAGTACTGAGGATGTTGACGCCAAGACGAGCGGGGCCGGTGGGTCCCGAGGAACTCGGAGATGGGTCTGATGACAAAGGCGCGAGCAACGCAACAAGCGGCTCGGTCACCCCAGGCGGATCCTACGAGCATGGTGATAATTCGAAGGAATTTTTGTCAACCGGTAGAACTGGCAGGAGAAATGCATTACCAGACATCCTTGGTCGACACGCCGAGACCGGTCTTTCCGATCTGTCGGATAGGTTCGAAGAATTGTCCACCCACACAGGTGTGAATTTATGTTCAATCTTACTCTTGCTATTATTTCGATTTGAAACAAGGAAATTGTAACAATTATAATAACAATAACGTTTAATAAGTAAAATAGTAAAAATAACAATTAGTAAATAAAATATTGTTTTGCCTTAAATTTTTGGTACAGATATACATTTGCAAAAATTTTACAAAATAATTTGTTTTGCAAGATGCTATCGTAATTTTTGTTATTATTGCTGCAAAAAGTTATACTTTTTTAAACATTGCGATGACACTCAACTTCTTCAAGGATACTGGCACATACAGGATGTTCACCAACGGCGGACTGGGGGATTTTCTCCGAACGGATATAAAATTGAAAAAAATGATACTTTCCCTAAATCGACCCCAAGGATTAAAAAAAAATATTTTTGAATTTCTTTGATTCTCTCTTAAGAGATTTTCTCGGGAAAAAGTTTGTTTTTTGACATTTTCTTATGGGAAGGATATGTTTTAACTTTATATTCGTAAATAACACCAAAAATAAGATTTTTTAATTTTGAATTTTTTTAATTTTAAAAAATTTTTTAATTAGAGGTTTCATCAACCTGTTTAAAACTTGTGGAAAGACTCGTAACATTTTGCGCGCACAATTAATAATCTTAATCAATAAAACTAAAAACAAGAACAACAAACACAAGTTAACCATAAGAAAATGTTCCTCCCAGTAAATATGTCAAAAAGCAAATTCTTTCTTCACAAAAATCCCCGAGGGGCGATTGGAAAAATTCAAAAATATATATTTTTTTTATATTTTTGAGGTCGAGATAAGGGGGGGATCCCAATCAACGGGATTCAAAAATCGAAATTCCAATTTTCACATGAGTCGACAGTTTAGCATTTCGAAAATATGTTCTCATAGCTTTAAGGATGTTTAGTACCTATTTTTGAAATATTAGGAATTTAACAAAAATTTTACAGATTGTTTTTACATATGTTCGGAGACTTATGATAAAATCCGGAGTTGATTCACTGAAGTAATCAAAAGTTATAAGGATTTTAATTTGCAACGAATCCGTGACTTTATGGAAAACGTGTAACCGTGTTTATTTAACTGGCTAAAATGGATAGAAAACAACTTTTTTTGTTGAAGAAGTTTCTTTTTATACATTTTTATGGTCACTATTTTTCCTTTAAGGGCCTACTTTTGGCATTGTGGATAAACACAACTAACCTCTATCCGCACGTCAAGCATAATTCAAAAAATTCGAAAATTCTTAGAAAAAAAACAACAGAAATTTAAAAGTACATTTCTGCACTCTATTTATGAATAAATGATAAGATTCTGTGCAATCTTTATTACTCAAACTATATGAGAAGAGCATATATTCGTTAAAATCAAATTTCAGCAACTTTTTGCTACGATTATACGTACGAAACATCCTTAAGTCGGAACTCGAACATTAAATGGAGCTACAGCCGATTAGAATGTAGCGCGTTACGCTGTGATAGGTATCTTTACTGAAAACTAAACGCGTCTCTTTCAAAATCACTTTTTTCAAATTGGCGTGCAACATAACTCAAAAAATATTTAACCGACCCATTTCTACTGATGCACACATTTACATAAATATTTTCTTCAGGTAATAAACTTCCAAAAATAATAAAATTGTTTAATTTAATTTGTTTAATTGTATAATAAAATGACGAAATTTTCGTGAAAATTGATACCTTTTTTTCAAACTGCCACCATTTTATTAATTTTGCACTTTTTTCTTCGAATCAAGGTTCATTACCTGCGCAATTTCTTAAAAAAAAAAATCTTTGTTTTTTTATTTCAAATAAGTAGAACAGCCACTATGCTGCACATCGCGCAGCAACTTTTGAAACAGAAAACCTCACAATTGTTTAAATAATTTTTTCAATAAATTTTTTTTTTGGCTATTTAATGGTTTTTTTTTTGTTGATAAGTATATAAAAATACTCTCAAAATTGAAATTAGTTCCAATGCATAGTTCTCGAAAAAAATTGTTACAAAGTTACATATGAATTTGCACTCGTGCGAACTCCGACGCGAAAGCGCCATCATTTCGATGGTACTAAAAATGAAATGACATTATCGGCGTAGTCTACGCCGCGTAGGTCCGTGTGTACGCATTTGTTTGTAGTGGTAACTCACTACACTTACGTGTGGTCTGTGTACGTGTGTCATCGAAAGTTTGTAAACAAACGATGCTTGCGCTTGTTTCCTCGACTGAAATTTTGTCGCAAGGCTGCAATATAATGTCCGAGAAAACATAGGCGTATACAAGGTGTCAAATAAATATAAACTAAATATGACAAAATAATAAATGAAAATATATATATAATACTATATATATCACTGAAGAAAAATGTCATATACTTTTCTTATTTTTATTCTTATGTAGTAAATACAAAATAACTAATTAATCAATTAATTAATATATACATATACACATATATTGAATAAATAATTATCTTTATTTTGTATTTTATATGATGATAACTAAAATAATAAGAGTATATATCATTTCAGTTATATAAAATACAAAATAAAGATAATTATATTCAATATATATATGTATGTATTGAATAATTAACTTATTTATTTATTTTGTATTAATTACATAAGAATAAAAATAGGGAAAGCATATAACATTTTTTCCAATTAGATATATAGTATTATACATACATTTTTCAAATAAAATATTTTATCATATCTAATTTATATCTATTAGACACCTTGTATAAGTCTATTTCGTCTCGTATGTATGTACATCATACAGCCATACGGTAAAATTTCAATAGCGAGAAAAAAGATGAAATAACCTTATAAATTATCCGATAAAACAAAAACAGACCACACGTGTAGTAAATTACTAACTAAAAGAAATACGTATTTCTTAAAATCTGCCAGTTCATGAATAAATCGTCTTTAGCTCTCTTTTTTTCTAAACGGTCAGCTGACGTTAGATCGCCTCTGACAATATTTATTAAAAATTGTTAGCTGACGTTAGATCGCCTCTGACAATATTTCTTAAAATCTGTCATTTCACGAATAAATCGTTTTAGCTCTCTTTTTCTAAACGGTCAGCTGACGTTAGATCGCCTCTGACAATATTTCTTAAAATCTGTCAGTTCACGAATAAATTGTCTTTAGCTCTCTTTTTTCTAAACTGTCAGCTGACGTTGGATCGCCTCTGACAATATTTCTTAAAAATTGTTAGCTGACGTTAGATCGTCTCTGGCTTTTGTAATTCTAAATTGCCAGTCCACGAGAAAACCGCCTCTGGCTTGAAGAGAAGAATAAGAATTCTCTAATGCCAGTCCACGAGAAAACCGCCTCTGGCTTGTCTTATTCTTTATTGTAAGATATTTTTATTACGTCATATGCTTTATATATATATAATATATATGTGTTAAATGACATATGTCATACGTCATATAACTAATATATAATATAAGTTATATGACATATACATTTATTATAACAATATACAAAATGATATTAACTTTTTACATAGATACTTTGATGTGAATATGTATAATATGGAGCACATAATATACATAATATATACACATGAAGCACATGAATAAAAGTATTTTACAGAAATTAGAATATGAATGTATGTAACTAAATAATGTGAATGTTTGCAAAAATGTTGCAAAATTTATGTGTAATACATACACTTTATCCTTCAGAGTGCCTTCAATCCATTTTTTCAGCCGGGTTTCGTAGCACATAACACACACACACACACACACACACACGCGCGCACACAACTAACATTTGCATCAGTAAGTTGGCAGTTTCTTATTTGAGGGCTAGTACTGAGAACTGTATAGCGCCTTTATCCCAAAATCCCGGAACTAATCTATAGCTCTTTTTTACCTTATTCTTCTATATTGCACGCATGCTTTGCATAAATCTGGAAAAGTATGGCATTTTGAAAATAAGTCTCTAAGCTCTATTTTTTTGATTTTCCATTATTGTTTCATACGCTCTTCTTCGGCACACACCCTTGTTTTGCAGATTGAAGCAGTATAATTTTGATATAAAAGATATAATTCTTTGAGGTAACATTGTCGATAAATTTTCCAAAATTTTTTTTATTTTTTGGTTTAAATTTTACTAACTGCCGAAAGATTAGCATGTGTACTTTACTTACACCAAAAGGATTTGTAATTCTATCAAAGCAATAAAAAATACCATACTTTCAAGAAAATTGAAAATACCAGTCGATAAAGTAGGACTTAAGCATCCTCTTAAGGAGGATAGATATCATTTTTCAACTTCAATTAAAAGAAAATCTTTCTGGCGCCGCTCGTAAACACCCTGTATGTGTACGTTTAGGTTTATTTCAAATATGATCGAAAAAGGTAGGGGAAGGTGGGGCAAGACGGACCCCCTAAGCGAAAATGGCCATATTTTTATATTAATGACAAAAATAACTGAAATTTAATATGAAGAAACAGTAGAATGTTTATTATAAGATCATAATGTTAAATTTTCAAAACTTGCAAAAGTTTGAATTATTATTAAGATTTTTAAAAACTTAA